CATATCTGTTCAGGAAATCCAGCTTCATAGTTGCAGAACAGCATGAAGGGGGACAAACTTACTTCTCTTTTGTGTAGGAAGTAGGCATGGCTTCAGGTTATGCAAGCAACTGGCTGCAGGGACCAGGACTGTGCTGTCTGGGACAGGCCTCCTGGGCTGTCAAGAGCTCCCAGCAGCTAGCTCAGTCAGCTAGCTTCTTCTCACACCTGGGGATCCATGGAGTGCTTCTTTGTCAGATGCTCTCTTACCCAAATTGTCCAGGCCACCTTACTAAGGTCAACCGAGACTGTGAGCCAAATAGAGCCAGCCCTCACCTTCAGCCCACGTTGTGACCTTGGAAAAGCCCCCTTTCTCCCTGAGCCTCAGTTAGGTAAGGAGCTTCATCAGAGTGTTTCTGAGCTGCCACCCAGCTCTGATAGTCTGGGGTTCCAGAGTCCATTCCCCAGCCAGGCCAGTAACCTAGTTGTGAAGGACAGTGAGAGTGGGCCGTTGTTCAGAATTCATAGGTGGGGTGGGAGCAGCGCCTTGCGATAAACTTGACTGAGGATTGGAGCAACCTGTTTACCCAAACCTCTGGCGAGGGCTGCCTGAAGCCTGCCACTCCTCTGGCATTGCTGCAGAGACATATGGAATGCACTTATATCAGCGAGCATCAGGCTCATGAACCTGACACTTCACCATCTGAACACCTCGAAAGATAAAAATTGCACAAGATGTGGAGCCCAGATGATCTGCTTATCAAATCAGCATTTCAACTCTGTTTCTCTTAGGAGCTCCTGGCTGAGGTCGCACCCTTTGCTGCCATTTCAAAAGAGTTTTTAATACAGTTTTCTCCTTGAGTGATTTTTGTCCTCAAGAGGGACTGTGGGAGGACCCAAGGGGATTTCAGAAGCTTAGTACTGAACTAATTCTGTTCCCTAATGATTTTGAAAGCCCATGTAATTAGGGAGGCAGTGGCAGGGAGGCTGGGGCTGGGAGTCTGGAGATGCGGGTGGCAGTCGTGGCTTTGCCGCTACCTGGCTGGGCAGTCTCGTGCAAGTTGCTTCATCTCTCTGGGACTCGGTGTCCTCATAAAGCAACTTCTCTTGATGGTCTCTTCCTGTCCTGGCACACCACACCTCAGCCCCAAAGACAGAAGAGTCCCATCTCAGGCATAGACCATTTCTTCTCTGGTGTAGAGACATATCTCTGGCTTCTAGTTTATAGTCCCTTCCCAAGCCCCTCCTCTTTGAAGGCCTTTGGGATATAGTCAAGAAAGTAGGAGAGCTGCATGGACATTTGCAGCTCGGAAGGGGCTTGGAGGAGAATCACTGAGCTATTTCAAGAATGCCTCTTGCCCCAGTTGTCTGGTAGGAGATGCTTGGCATGTTTGGGCAGCAACATTTCATAAAAGTTAAGAAGCCTGGCCTCAGAGGCAGCCAGCTCTTCTTTCACTCCCAGCCTTGCCAATCATTTCAATTCATTATTCAGAAAATATTTATCAAGTGCCTTTTTTTTGTGCCAGGCACTGCCACCAGGCTACTTTGCATACATTAGTGCACTTAATCCTCACCTGTGAAGCAGATACTGATTTTATCCACACTTCACAGATGAGGAAACTGAAACTCGGGGAGGTGACTAGATTTATCTAAGTTCACACAGTGAACAACCTGGTGCTTGGGGCAAGTGGCCAGCCTGGGGCTTGGGTCCAGGGCCAGTGACTCTAAAACGATGGCCTTCAGCTGCTACACTCTGCCTTCTCCCAAACCTTCTCCTACTTAATCTTCATTTCAGTCCACATTTGCTTTGCTGCAAAGCTTCCAGAATAGCCCCTGCGACCTTGCCGGCCCACATCACAGATGAATGAGTGCATCCACTTCTGGAGGAGGAGGGTGGGGACAGACACCAGATAGTACAGTGGGAAAGGCCCTGAAGTAGGTGAGAGTCCAACAGGTCAGCTTCTAGACCTGCCTGGCCTCTGTCAGCCATCTGACCTGAGGCATTTCCACTCTCTGAACTTTACCAGCCTTGATTTCTTCATGGGACATTGTAAGCATCAGTTGAGAGCAGGGCTGTGGAAGGACTTCCAAAGTCAGAAAGTGATGAAAGTCGACTCATTATTTATTTGGTAAAAAACTCTGTTGTCACTCACCACACTGGATAGTTAGACTGCACATTCCCTTAAGAATCTGGAACTACAGCATCTCACGTCTGAGCCCTGGGGTCCCCCAGCAAAGCGGCACGAGGAGGCAGGTTTTGCTCTCGAACATCCTGTGTTCCCTGCCTGACTCACTCTGCAATGCCATGTTCCCGGATGTGCGGTATCACACGGCTGTCTCCGTGACATGTGGTGGGCCCAGAGAGGCTGTATGTGACATTCCTAAACAGATTCAGGCATGAGGAGAGAGAAAAAGGAAGCACATTTGTAAACAGACAGCCTGAGGTTTCGGGGAACCCGACAAGACATTGCTCTCTTTTCATACTTGATTTGGAGCCTGTGGGATGTGGCTGTCTGTCCGGTGAGGGTGGGGCTCGCTGCCTTCTGGGAGGCATGCCTTGTCACCTGCCCGAGGGCTGCCTGGCCCCAGGGCCAGGCCCCAGGGCCAGGCGCTCTCAGACCTCCGATTCTGAAAGGGCTGGGTAGGGGACTCTCCTGCTGACTTTACCACTCAGCCCTTTCAGGAACAAGAGGAGACGGTAGCTGGAGGGGCTGCCTGCAGGGGGGCACGGCAGCTCTGTGCCACTTTTCACCAGGTTTTGGTGCCTGTGTATTTTTCTCTCTCCTCTTGCCCAGCTGTGCTTAGGGTGGTACAGGAAGAGGATTTTACATATTTGAGACTTTGTCCACTTTGGGGCCCAAGCAGGAGAGAGGAGAGCAGACTCACTGGTGGGGCTTGGGATAAGAGCGTATCTCTTTACTTTAAGTACAAAGGATGCCAGGGAACAAGTCAAAGAATTTCTGAGGCACCGGCTGCCTCTGGCAAGGCAGAGGGCATGGTGGGGCACACTGGCTCTCCCAGGGGAACAGGAGTGTGGGGCCACACGGACATCCCTCCTGCCTAACAATTAGCAATTCATCAGCTGCTGGAAAAATCCTCTGCTTAGCCTACCAGATAGGCAGCGTAGCCCTGGAATTAGGAAGGCAATCTAGAGGATGCTGAAAGAGAACGCCATGGAGGCAAAGGCCTGCAGGGATAGCTGGTGACCTGGGCTCCAGTCCCAGTCCTGCCACTGGCCTCTGTGTGAGCTTGGCCAGGTCACTTGCCCTCTCTGGGACTGTTTGTGAAAGAGGGTGAGGCAATGATTGCTATGGCCCCTTCCAACTAGGCTGAACAAGCATCTCTGTTTGCCCAGGATGGTCCTGGTTGTCCCTGCCTCTCATGGAGCTGTCCCCTTCAGACTGCTCTTTTCTTCCCCTCTCCCTCTGGGCTCTCAGCCCTTCCTCTCGGCGCTGGAGTCTCGTCTTTGGGTTTGATGACTGTGGGGATAATTCCTTGTGCTGAAACGGTGGGGGCAGAGATGATGCTATAAACATGAAATGCTCTTTACATCAGGGGCCCCGGTGCCCCAGAATGGACAGGGCCATAAACTCCAGGCTGTTCTGGTGGCCCCCTGACCCCAGCGGTGGGCAGCCCCACATTGAAACTGGGCTTCAGTCCCCAGCTCTGTGGTAATTCCACCTCTTTCTGCAGTCATGCCGGTGATGTCAGGACCAGATCTGAAGGATTACCCAGCTTTGCAGCCCGCAGGTGGTGACTCGCCGGTTCACCGTCACATTGGCATCAGCCTAGTTTCTTACAGCCTTTAAGGGGCTGAGTTTAAAGGATCGCTGCTGACGAAACCCAGGAGTAATTTTTCCCCGGATGGGCTGCCAGTTTCTTTATCATTTAGCGAGGAGCCTCTGCAACGTTTGGGGTGGAGGACTTTTAAAGTTCCAAGTGATGGCTACTATACACGTGTCAGAGGGCAGAGGAAAGCAAACTCACGTGGCCTCGGGCTCTCATTCACCTCCGCCCCCGTGGACCCCACTTCATGTGACTTCCAGGCCTCTTGGTCCCTCCTTCAGGGTGTCCTCGCATGTTCGTGCTGCCGATGTCGCAGGTCGAGCACTGTCCCTTCCACCAGGCACCGTGTTAAAGGTGAAGCAGCACTTGGATACGGTGATGCTGGGGCGAGGCAGCGCAGACCCATGTGACACCGGCCAGTCTGGATGGGGCCGTGTGCTCTGACACCTTTGAGTGCCGTGGCAGCGTAAAGTAGGGTGATTCATTGTCCCTGGGGTGACATGTAGGCTGGGCCTGGAGCTGCAGGTGGATCGTGTGTGGGAGGCAGTCAGGCACGGGAAATGGCACACGGTGCACCCAAAGGCATGAGCTTTCTCCCACTCCCTCTACCTTTGTCACCCACTGTGGGTGGCGCTGTGGGTGGCATTGGGTCAAGGGCTACTGGGCCAGAGCCCCAGGCAGGTAGAGTCAGCCCTGGAGGCTGCCAGGACCAGGGAGCTTTGCACACTCAGGAGCCTACCTCATATTTCCCAGAGCAAATGGAGGTCGCAGAAATGCGTGTCCTTCCTTTCCTTCCAACTCCTCAGAATACTGTCTCCTCCTGTGGGAAGGACCAGCTCTGACCCCATCCTGTGACCCCATCCTGATGCCCCAGGCCCTTCTCCAGTCCATCACCAGCCATTGCTGATCCTTTCCTTGCCTTTGGGCCTCCGCTCCCTCTTTCCGAGCTCCACACCTAACACCTTGAGTCAGATCCCAGTCATCTACCCCACTGGGTTTGTTCCAACAGTCTTCTCATTTAATCTGTGATTCAGGACTCTCTGGGGCAGGCAACAAGTTCTTTTCCATATGCATATCTCCCACCCACATTGGGACACAAAGTGAATGTCCTTACAAAACCAGGCCACGTCTACAAACGAGTATAATAAAATGAGCATCTTGAACACCTCCAGAACCTGGATTCCACAGGAGAGCGCAGTTCCGGCGCGTGGCCCTCTGCTCCGGAAGTGGTTCCCCTCAGTACGGCTCTTCACGTCCGAGCCGGTCTCGCTTTTCCCTAGGCGTCGGCCGAAGCCGCCTGCAGACGAGTTTTGGACGGAAGGGCCTGCCGTGCGGGGACGTGGCCACGCAGCCGCAGTCCGGCCGATGCGGTTCACGTGCCGGCGGCGACGGCGGCGGCCCTTCCTGGACCCGTCGTGGTTCCGCCGGGGACTCCGAGCCTCAGCAGCGAGGTAAGTGCCGCGGTCCGGGGGCCTTTTCGGGCCTCGGAACGGCCCCTCTGCGTCCCTCCGGCGAGCGCGCGGTCTGGCGCGGAGCGAGGGCGGGAAGCGCGGCTGCGGGCGGGTGTCCCGGGGCGCGCAGGGCGGCGGCGGGAACGCCCCCCTCGGTCTGCAGGCGGCCGCAGCGAGGGGCGTGTGTCTGGCCCCGCGGCCCCGTGGGTTTCTGTGTGTGGGGGGGCTTTGGGGAGATGATTCAGTCTCTGCATTCGGTGCCCTTGTCTGTACACAAAGCTCATGGTGCTCTCCTCCCAAGGTCGTGAGAGCTGTGTTGACTGGAGTCCGTCAGGCGCGCGGTGCCAAGGGGAGGGCAGGATTGAGACCCGTGGGGTGTTCCTGACACACGGCTGCATTTGCATGGGACCGTATCGTTTATAACTGTATGTTCGTTGCCGCATTTCTTCTCTCCATTCACACCGAAATTTTAAGAGAAAACTGTTTATGCGTGCTGTATCCAGTTCTCTTCCTCATTCGTAAATCCAGCCCTAAATCAGGCAATTGCTCTCATCACTTCCACCATAACGTGTCAATATCAGTAGGCTACCCTTTCTGCACCTATCGTCTTTCCAGTTTCCGCTTCTCTTCGAGGGAGTCTCATGTCATCTGAAGACCTAAAGTAATCTGGGAAAGCAAGGGTCACATGAGGGTCTCACAGCTACAGCAAAGGAAGTTTTTTGTTATCTTTATTTAGTGGGTATGAAGGTGTCTGCCCGTAAGTAAGTCATTGTTCATACTTTATGTAGTTGTGTATGACACTTTCAGTAGTCAGGCAAGCCACACTCAGATAGGAAAGGGTAAGAAACATCCACCTATGATACAGAATAATGCCCAGAGCAAAATGAGGTGAGTGATATTTGTTCTTGGTTTTTAAGGATCTTACACAGGAATCGCAGTTGGTGATTAGGGAAGGGAAGAGGGCATTCCAGACAGAGGGACTGGAATAAGCAGGGAAGAGGTGGCAGTAGGAAGCCTCTTGGAAGGTATAGGGATAGATAACTGTCCATTGATGGGAACTTGTGGGGTGAAGTAGGAAATAAAAACTGAAATATGTTATTGCTTTGCTGCTAGGTTTTAAGCCTAGATTTCATTTTAAATATATTGAAAAGAGAAACTGTGAGGGCATTTAGTATATATTCATAAGCATACATTAAGCTTGTGCTAGTTCCAGAAAACATTTGTGGGGCTTTTACCATTAGATTACCTCTGAGGTAGTCTGAGACCTTACCTGGAATGATATCCCTGGGAATTCATGGAAAATGCTAGTGAGCTTCCCGTTCAACTCTGAAATGACTCCGAGAGTAGGAGTGATAGTCATTTACCACTCTTCACTTAAGGCTCTTTCTTCTTGCACTTAGTTTCCAGGCCCCTCCAGAACAGTTAAAATTTGACTTTCAGGGAATCTTGACTACTTTCTTTCTGCTTTGGGAACACTTGTACCTCTCTGTTTTGTGTGTATGTCTCTCCCCTACAACATAGGTGCTGTGTAAATGTTTGCTGGATGTCTGAATGAACTATACACATCCTACACTGAAGCAAATTTTTTGTGTTTTAGTATGAAGGTGGGGGGGGGGAAGACAGAAAAAAGTGGAGAGGAGGGAAGGTGTTGAAATTGAAAATAAAGAAAAACTACAAAGGGAAAAAAATATGGATACATCTACAGAAAAACTGAAGAACATGCCAAGGAAAAAAATTGGACAACCAATTAGAAAAAAGAAATACAGCAATATGACATAAACAGCTAATGTCATTACTATAAAATAGCTCATGAAAATTAAAGAGAATGTGTCATAGAAAATTGGCAAAAGAATTAACTTCAAGGGAAAAAAATGTATCTGAAAAAGAGTTCAAATTCACTATTATCTTTCAGATCTCTGCATTACTGTTTACTCAGCACCCTTATCCTAGTCTACGTTGTATCTCCCACCAACTCCTTTCCTTGACTCTTCACTACGTCTAATCTGATCTCTCCAGTGCAGCTGGCGTGCTGTCTTCAAAACATACATCTGATCATGTGACCTCCCCACCCCTTTCTTGAAACCTTGGTGGTAGCTCCATTGGTTTTGGTGAAGAGCAGTCTAAATAAGGCCAGTCTCTCCCCTTGTGTCATGTATACCACGTCCTCCTCAGTCTCTGTGCTTCAGCTGCGCTGGCCTTCCTTCACTGTCCAGCACAGCACCCTGTAGATCCTTTGCACATGGTGTTCCTTTTACCTGAAGCTCTTTTTCCTCTCGTTATTACATTTCATACTTCTAGTTTACTTTTCACTTTTTCAGGGAAACCTTTCTTGACTTTCATTTACCCTTTTTTATAAGCTCTGTTGCACCATTTATTTAGCCCTTCTAGTCATTGCTCTGTGTGTGTGCGCGCGTAAGAGAGATTTCTTATGCCCTCCACCTGTCAGTAAATTCTTGCTTTCTGATCATATCTTCAGTGCTTATCTGTTGAATGAAAACTTGAGGCATTATTTTTATGATCCTTAATAGCTCATTTTACTTCGTACTGCAAGCTTCCCTAGGAGAGTACTAGCTCTTGGAATAATTGTTTTCTAAGAACCATGGGGTTTGGTTGCAGGCTAATTAAAATGCACACCAGAGTCAGTGCATCACCAAGAGAGGCCGTCTAATTGGCTGGCTGGCAGACAGCCGACTGAGGATCGGTTCACAGCAGAGTTTACCTTACGTTTGCTCTCAGCTTTGTAGATCGGACACGTGTTATCAGTGTCACCCCGCAAGTATAGATCATTCTCTCAAAAGCAAATTCACATTGACCATAAGCTTATAGAAGTCTACGTACATGAGAAAGCTGGTTTATTAAGAAATATATCTAATGTAGATAGGAGCATTCACCTTGTAAAACACATTATTTTCCTTTCCTTTGACCTACATTAGCTGCTTGGCGTGTAGAACCACAGAAAGGGTTTTGTTTTAGTTGCATAATGCAAGAGCTAGTTATGACACATCTGTCCCCATTATTGAGTTATTCCAGTACAAATTGGATTTCTTAAGTCTCTGAGCAGGGGATCTCTTCTTGGAATCTCCTTGAGTTGGACACTGCCAGATTTTGCTCTTTGTGGTTCCCTTTTTGTGTCATTGCCTACTGAAGAGGTGATGCAGGTTACATTACCAGGCTAACTGAGGGCTTCCGCACGCTGGGTTCTCGGTGACACCTCCCTTCCGGCAGCTGTGCTGTGCGCTCCTGTGTGCAAGTCCTCACTCCTCCTCCTGCTCTCATAGGTTATATTAAATGCGTTCTTTTGCTGTTTGGAGATGCTCAGCTTGGGCTTGTCAGTCTTAGTGATGACCTACAAATTTGTCTTTCAGTTTCTGTCTTCATATTTTTTCCTGTTGTTTCTCTTTCGTTTTATTTCTTCTCTGTCAGCACATAGGATTTCCATTATTATGCCACTGTTTTCTCCCGCTCACTTTATTTCTCTTTCCTTCCTTCCCCCCCATCAAAATCATACTTTTTCCCATTTCTAACAGTGATAGTTCTGTGTGCGTTTGGTTGAAGAATCAAGAAAAAAAACATTGGTCTTCAAACAGTGCATGGCCTTCTGATGATATTGGGTGTTTTAGGCCTGTTTGTTGACTTTTGGGTTATCTGTCAACGAGCTTCATAGTAGGTACAAATTCATTGTCAACCTTTTAAATCCTAACTGAAAGGCTATTGGTAGCTAGCTAGCTGTTAGTGGAACAAAAATGTAAATGCTTGGAAGAAACTAAGTGCTTGAGGTGAGTAGGTGAGAGAAAAATAAAACTAACTCCATTTTTACGTGAAGTGAATATACTTACGTTTTTTAATATACTGAGCTTTTCAAATTTTCTTACTGCCTACGCACTGGTACTGTAAAAGTCATTATACTGAAGGAAAAGCACTAAAGTCAGTATACATACTGAAAAAAAAAGGCTAGGAAAGCATTTTTTTGGCATCAGCATGAAACTAAGTACATGAAACATTCCCTTTGCTTTTAAGAATTCCCTTATGCAGTACTGGCAACCATAGAACTTCTTACATTGGAATTTTAAAATTGGAGTCTAGTTCTCCCGTGATTGGAATGCAGTGCAACTGAGGACCAACTCTGCGATTTATTAGTTAAGTTAAGTTTGTTTTACAGTGGTTAGCAAATGCTGTATAGTCACCTCATGCACCAGCAGGGGTATACCACTTAGAAACATTTGTTAATAAATCTTAATGCATAATTTATCACTTGTTATTAATTATTGTATGAATAATGTAATTTTCAAAAAAATGTGTCAGAAGTCCCTATTTTGCTTATAAAACGTAGCAATTCTTTTTTACTTAAACCTAGTCTAAATGACTTTTCATTGATACACATATCTTATTAATTGGGATACCTACAATAAAATGCACAAATCTTAGTGTACAGCTTGAGGAATTTTGATATGTGTATATATTCATGTCACTGTCACTGAGTTCAAGATATCAGACGTTCTAACTGATTTTTTTCCCCTTTCGTCTGTTTCACCCATCCCCCTATCTCCTTCCTCGTGGCAAACATCAGTCTCTTCTCTGTGTTTATGGATCTGTTTCTGTTTTGTTTGTTCATTTGTTTTGTTTTTAGGTTCCACATACAGTATTTGTCTTTGTCTTATTTCACTTAGCTTAATATCCTCTAGGTCCATCTATGTTGCAAATGGTGAGATTTCATTCATTTTTATGGCTGAGTAATACTCCATTATATACATATGTACCTCATATTCCTTATCCATTTGTCTGGTGATGGACACTTACATTGCTTTCATATTTTGGCTATTGTAAATGATACTGCAGTGAACATAGGGGTGCATATATCTTTTTGAATTAGTGATTTTGTTTTCTTCAGGTTAAATTCCCAGAAGTGGAATTACTAGATTGTATGGTATTTTTCATTTTTTGGGAAATCTCCATACTGCTTTCCTTAGTGGCTGCACTAACTTACATTCTCATCAACAATTTAGGAGAGCTCCCTTTCTCCACATCCTCTCTAATTCTTGTTATTTCTTGTGTTCTTGGTATTAGTAGCCAGTCTGACTGGTGTGAAGTAAGTATGTCATTGTGATTTGATATGCATTTTCTTGATGATTAGTGATGTTGAGTATTTTTTCATGTCTGTTGGCCATCTATATGCCTTCTTAGGAAAATGTCTATTTGGGTACCGTGTACACTTTTTAATTGGATTACTTGTTACTTTTCTGGATTTGATTTGTATGAGTTTTTTAATATATTTTGTTTATTAGCCCCGTATTGGATATATAATTTGCAGATATATTCTCCCATACAGTAGGCTGCCTCTGCATTTTGTTGGTGGTTTCCTTTGCTGTGCAGAAGCTTTTTAGTTTGATGTCATCCCACTTGTTAATTTTTGCTTTTGGTTCCCTTGCCTGGGGAGACACATCCCCCCAAAAATTACTAATGTGAATGTTCAAAAGCTTTCTGCCTATGTTTTCTTCTAGTTCTATAAAAGCTGTGTTTTATAGTGTCAGGTTTTATATTTAGGTGTTTAATACATTTTGAGTTTATTTTTGGATGTGGTATAAGACAGTGGTCTGGTTTCATTTATTTGCATGTAGCTATCCAATTTTCCTAACAACATTTACTGAAGAGACTCTTTACAGTGTGATTTTTTTCTAAATGGATCTAACTTTGAAACAAATTCTAAAGAGGTTAACATATCTAGTGGGAAAGAAACCTGATTACTCTGCATTCTGTTAGTATATACTCTGCACTTGAAACAGTGAATGAACAAGTGAGTATTGCAAACTTTCTGGTTGTTGATTTAACAAATATTTATTGAACAATTGCTATGTCATCCACTGTGTTAGGTGGTAAGATTCAGTGTTGAGTAAAACCAGATACTTGACCTTCATGGAATTATAACCTACTGGAAGGAAGACACATTAAACATAATTAGACTAAAAGTAAAATTAAACTAAATTAAACTAACAGTCACGGTAAGTTATAGCAGCACTCTAAGTGCTCATAAATGGAATGTTTTACCTTCTCCAGGAGGCCAGAAAATATTTCCCTGAGAAATGACAGTTGAGCCAACATCAGAGGGATAAGATGTTTATAAGGTAACTTGGGGAGAAAGAGCATTCATACCAGAGAATATTGCAAGTGTAAAGACTTGGAGGTAGATGTGATCATGGCGAGTATGAAGGAATAAAAAAGGCCCATGTGACCATCCTAAGAGCAATTGGAAACCACTGGGGAGAGTTAAGTAAAAGTATGACATCGGATCTGCATGTTAAATAATGTATTATGACTGAATTGAGAATAACTGGGGAGGGACAAGTGTGAGTTGGAAATAAGTTTAAACACACTCGAGGAAATACCAAGTAGGCAGTTGCAGTTGTATATTTAGATCTGGACTAAAAGAGAGATCTCAGACAAAGGTAGAAATTTTTGAGTCATCTTTGGTTAGGTGGCAAATTAAAACAATATGTACATGTACATCTTTAGGGTTCAAAAGTATATTGTGAAAAGAAGAGTTGGCCTTGAACTCATGACTGATTAGAGGTCTGTGAGCCTTAGAAAACCAAGATAGAGTGTGTAGAGAGGAAGGAGGAAAACCAGGGGAGTGATCTGTCCTGGAAACCAAGGACCGAGCGTTTCAAGGAGGAGGAGGCAGTCAGCAGTGTCCAATACTGCTGAGATGGTCACGTAAATGAAGTCTGAAAAACTGTTGAATTTTGTGATGGTTTAAAGTGGACCATTGGGAAGGGAAACTGGAATAATGTGGGATGCGTGAAATAGTTTGGACTCTTTAAAAGCTTAGCTCTGAGGCAGTTGAAGAGAGAGGGTGCTCCCAGTAAACTTTGTAGTGTGGATGTTTTGTTGTGTCTTTAGTGAAAATGATCCTGGCATGATTAAAAGTCAATGGGAAACATCCATTTAAAGAGATTGACAATGCTAGAGGAAAGGAATAATCTATAGAAAGGGTTCTAGGAAGGCAGAAAAGGATGGGCTACTGAAACACAGTTAGGAGACTAACCTGATATATGTTGTAGGGGTATTTCTTATAACTTTATTATAGAGGATGAGGATGCAAGTAAATTTGTATTTGTGGTAATAAAAAATGATGGTTCCCATCTGATATTTATTTTCTCCATGAAATTGAAAAAAAGAGGAAGAAGGTCAGATGTTTTAGGAAAGCATGCGAAGGTTTAAAATAGTCGTTGTAGAGTGTATTGACCAAGAAAGTAGAGTTGCTAGTAAGTGTAGAGGCCAGTCAAGGTTAGCTCTGGGGGGTTTATTGTAGAATCTCAAGTATTTCCTGCCTCCTGGAGAGCTGTGAAAAAAGACTCCGAATGTTGCTTTCCTCCAGGATTAACTAGAGAGGGTGGAAGGTATTGGCAAGTGTTGATCATGTACCCAAACTGGATAAAAGGAAAATTAAAAGGCCTAACCATTTGAGAGAAGGTGAAAGGGGTCAGTGAACTGGTGGTTTCAGTGAAGTGACAGACCGTTGTGGTGGATGAAGTTGAATAAGCAAGCTGATGGAAGTTGTGCTCTCATTGTGGAGTATTTGAATTCATGATTTTAAAAATGGAGTAGTTATTAGTGATGACAAGGTCTACAGTGTGACCATGAAATTGTGGGTAGCTGAGATGGAAAACATTAGGTCATTAGAAAAGAGGAAGTCAAGAAGTGAGGATGTAATATCAGATGGGTTATTCAAGTGGACATCTACCTCACCCAGAATGATGGCAAAACTTAGGATGGAGAGAAATTGTAAATTGGTTGCCAGTATCTTCAGTGGATAAGGGATGAATGACACTAATAGGAGATAAGAGAAGCTGTTAAGGCTAAATTCAAGAGCCTTGAAGAAACAGGATGAGGTTGATAATACTATTTTGGTGAGAAGAATTTGAGGGCTGAGGGCTTGTGTGTGCCAGGCTCTCTTGCAAGGCACAGAAAACACTGTGTAAATACTGCGAGGCGCTGTCCTCTGAGAGGAGCTCAGACTATAGAAGAAGCAGCCTTACACGTGCAGTTAGTGACAGTACAGTGAGATCCTACCTTCGGAGTATGGTGGGAACCTCAAGGAAGAACAGGTTATGTTTAGCTGAAGAAATCATTGAAGGTTTCACAGGAGAGATTATATCTGAACTGAAGTTTATGTAGTTCCTCAAGTGAAGAAGGAGGAGGACATCACAGGAAGAATTATAAGATGTATGGCTCCTAACAATGACAGACGAACATAAACTCAAAGTGATAGCATCCCTTCTTGTAGTAAGCACTGTCGTAATACAGAGTTCTTTATCATTATAATATCTCCATCTCTTTGGCCATAGTTCTGTTTTTTTGTTCTAGAGTTCAACATTGTTCTCTAATGGGATGATTGAAAGCATGTATCTGGTGTGTGTATGTCCTTGTGTCTTTGGTGTTTCTTTTAAAGTTATGCTTGAAATAATATATTATCAAAAATAAATGCAGAGGTGCTCTATAAATAAACACAATACAATTCTTTGACATAATTTGCTATTGTTGTTACAAACACTCCTTCAGGAAATTAAATGTCTCCCATTATGGGTGAAGTTCTGTTTTAAACCACAAGGACCCAAAGATGAACATGTTGGTCTCTGACCTCAGGGAACTCATCATTTATTATGATTCAGGAACAGGATGTACGGGTGATATCAATATACCAACCACAGGGAATGCTATGACCTTTTTAAAAATCACAACTTACTTCTCTTAAATCCTCAGACATGTTTTTAGAATGTTGATTTATTCCTTTGCTGTTTATGGAAGAGATTTGATTTCATCAAACTGAATACAGTTAAACAAAAATTTGGTTCAACTGGTAATCTATAATAAGACTCAAAACAAAGTATGTTTCTTCTTGAATCAAGAGCCTTCCTGATTTTGTCTTTATTCCTCACAGGTTGGGAAGATGAGAAAAGAAGTGAAGAGAATCCGAGTTTTTATCTGAAAACTTGTCAGGAGTGTGAGCAGACTGGAGTCCAAAAAGTAAGTCACTTAAACTAATGATCCCAGGACTAATAAAATGTGAAAAGTTGTTTTTATTCAGTATTTACAAAAGTGAAGTGTGGGACCTAGAGGAATAATTAAATATCTTACTCATGCAGCACTTTGTTTTATATGTGGAAAGGATGTGAGTGAGACAAAATGTGCTGTGTCAGTATGTCATTATATGGTTTGGACCTTATTTACTTTAAAATATGTGATGAATTCTTCTGATTTTTTCCCAAACTCTCCTTTCTGCCATTTTGGAATGAAAGCCCTTTGGGGTTGTTTATGTGTTTTATGTTATTGGAAGTTACTTTAAGATGTTGCTATAGTTTAACAAATGTACTAATACTTTGGATCGGTTACAAAGATTTTATATCACTTTATTCCTTGAATTGGTGATTAATTTGAAATTCTCAGTGTCTTATGGAAGTGCTTATGAAAACAACATGTTCAACCTAATTTTTTTGAAAGTGTACTTTGTAATTTTAGTTTCACTAGTATTAGAGGAAAAATATGCTATTTATAGTTTTTATGCTTTAAGATGTGTTTTATTCCTGATTAGCTTCTTGTTCCTTCTTCATATTTCAGAAGATAGCCTTCCTCTCCAGTATAATCAGATTTTTAACTTAGATATTCCATTAATTCCAGAGAGCAAGTTTTCATTTAATAAAATTTAATTCAACCTTTAATTATAGCTTATGAAATTTGTATTACATTAAAATAAAGTGTTATTAATCTGTTAATTAAAAATATTATTTGGCCATCCTATTAAGGAATAGAAGGCAAACTGTTAATATCAATAGTCATTAATATAATGCTGGGACAATGCTTCTTTTGCCAAATTTTGAGTTTGTTGATGGAATTGAGTTTGTTGAGGACAGTACAGGATGACAGAGTGTTAGAGATTTATTACGCCTTTTTAAAAGAAATGAAGAAATTTTTCATTTGATAAGAGTCTAAGAGAAATGCTTTTCTTGGCTACATATTGTATTATCTGCAGGGGCACTGAAGATGCACTGTTAAAAAGCCAGAGACGAGCAGAATGATTGAAATCCCCAGAACGAGCTTGAAAAATCCCTGCCATGAAGGTAAGGACTTACCACATGGGTGTGTGCATGTGTGTGTGTCCGTGTCTCCTGTCAGCCTGCACTTTGTGGGTGTGCAGGGAGTAGAGGTAAGTGGTGTTATTTACTTGAATATTAGTTCGAGTTGACTAAGCCTTATTTATATGGGTCTGTTTGCTGCAGAATGTAGCACATTTAGGAAATTGTAATGTTTAAGCTTGCATTTTTTCATGTTTTTTCTGGAATTTTTTAAAGTACTAGACTAATTTAAGCCAAATCATGCCAAACTAAACTCATCTATGTTTAATGATGCCTCATGCCTAAGGTTTTTGTTTTTACTGTAATGTTAGCCATAAAGTCTAAGAAGTTCAAGCATTGAACATTCATGCTGTGTGGTAATGTGGATGGTGATATTGGAGGCTGACATCATGCTTTGCCTATTGCCAACTCAATAAATTTTTGTGTGGTGGTGTCAGCATTTTATTCAGCTCTGTAGGAACTTGAAATAAAATTAGTGTTGGATCAAAATGATCCATATTTTTGTTTCTTTCAGCCAGACTCTTCACTAGCATAATTTTTAGGTCTTCTCACTGCTGTTACTTTGTGGAAACTTTCATTTACCAAGTGACATACTATTAAATGTCTGGGAGACTGTTTTATTGCAGAACTTAAAAACAACATTTGGTACCAACAATTATCTTAATTGTAGGGTCATTTTGCATGTATATTTGACTATTACATTTTGGTATTCTAAGTTTTGAGATAGATAAGAAAGCAAGATAATTCTCCAATAATATTTTAATTGAGTTAGATTATCAAACTTCTCACTATGTTTTCCTTTTGAAGAGATGATTGTTTTATAGGACAAAATTACCACAGTTAATCTGAGTGGAAGTTGTAGGACATGGTTTTTCTTTGGTGTGAGGTACGTTTTTTGTGAGGTATTTTCATTTGTTTTATTTTCATGATACTGCAGAATTCATGGAATCCATTTGATGTATCATTCTCAAAGCTCCAACCCCCTTCTTACCCAGTTATTCAATAACAATACTCTATATTTGACTTCTGATTATCATTTGTGTCAATTTGGGTTACACATTATTTAGGCTTTTTCGTATATGTTTTTTTCCCTATAAAATTCTGATAGAAATGAAGTCTCCAGAGACCTTTGTTCTGAGGACACTGAGACGGGAATCACGATTCATCCTTTTGCCTCTTACACTTGCTCTTAGCCGAGGCCCTCACTAAATCACATTCCTTTACCTAGATTTTTCCACATAATTTCTTCTGGATAGTTTATAATCATAGTCCTAAATTATCCAGAGGCTTTGAACTACTATACAATTGCTGATTTTATTTTATCATGGAAGGATGCATTATATATAATAAGGCTGTGTGCAGTGTGTGAGGAGTTTGAGAACAAAAGATTCATTACTCTTTAGAATACTTCTCCTTCTGTAACTCTCAGTAGTTGCTTTAATTTAGTTAATTAAAAAAGGAAATCCTATTTGATCTTTACGTGGAAGTTTTTTTTCTTACTCTTAAATTTCATCAGCAGTAAGAAATCAGGCCCAGTCATAGAGTTCATAGATCCTTAAGACCTTAATGGAAAAGTTTTTGTGTTGTTGCCTCATAGAAAGCTAAATTTCATAGCCTGTTTGTTCCTTGAATTCATAAAATTAGTAGTGTATATATTCTTTGAATTCGTGGTAGTGGTTAGGGTAGTCTAGATGGGTTGCTGTGACTTCAACACTTTTTGTAATATTATTTGAAAATTGCATTAAGTTTAAATGTAGAAACCAGAATAAAAAGAATATGAGGAAGACTGTGTTTGCTTTCGTTACATGTCAGATTTCATTTCTCATTCATGGTTCTTTTACAGAATTGGTCTTCCTTTCTAAGAGAGGCAAATAGAGCATTTTTAAAAATTGAAAGTTCATTTGTAATTTCTTAAGGAAGTGTTTATCATGTACATGGGAATATCAAAGAAATGGTCACAAGACAGAAAACTCACAGTTTCAATGAAAGCTGGAGAAATACCTCTACTTACTCATTTTTTCCAGATGGATTTTTTTCCTTGGCTCATGTACCACTACGTTGTTTTTTTTTTAAGGTTTTATTGATACATACTTTTATGAAGGTTCCACATGAAAAAACAATGTGGTTACTACTTTACCCATATTATCAAGTCCCCACTCATACCCCAATGCAGTCACTGTCCAGCAGTGTAGTAAGATGCCACAGAGTCACTATTTGCCTTCTCCATTGGTCTATGGGTCTGTTCTTGTGCCAGTACCAAATTGTCTTGATTACTGTGGCTTTGTAGTAGAGCTTGAAGTTGGGGAGCATAATCCCTCCAGCTTTATTCTTCCTTCTCCTTCTCATGAGTGTCTTGTAGTTTTCAGAGTATAGGTCTTTCACTTCCTTGGTTAGGTTTATTCCTAGGTATTTTATTCTTTTTGATGCAACTGTGAATGGAACTGTTTTCCTGATTTCTCTCTCTGCTAGTTCATTGTTAGTATATAGGAATTCCACAGATTTCTGCATATTAATTTTGTATCCTGCAACTTTACTGAATTCAGATATTAGATCTAGTAGTTTGGAGTGGGTTCTTTGGGTTTTTTTTTTATGTACAATATCATGTCATCTACAAGCAGTGACAGTTTAATTTCTTACTCACAATCTGAATGCCTTTTATTTCTTTGTGTTGTCTGATCGCCATGGCTAGGACCTCCAGTACTATGTTGAACAGAAGTGGGGAGAGTGGGCATCCTTGCCTTGTTCCCGATCTTAAAGGAAAAGCTTTCAGCTTCTCGCTGTTAAGTATAATGTTGGCTGTGGGTTTGTCATATATGGCCTTTATTATGTTGAGGTACTTGCCCTCTGTACCCATTTTGTTGAGAGTGTTTATCATGAATGGATGTTGAATTGTGTCAAATGCTTTTTCAGCATCTATGGAGATGATCATGTGGTTTTTGTCCTTCTTTTTGTTGATGTGGTGGATGATGATGGTGGATTTTCAAATATTGTACCATCCTTGCATCCCTGGAATAAATCCTACTTGATCATGATGGATGATCTTTTTGATGTATTTTTGAATTGGGTTTGCTAATATTTTGTTCAGTATTTTTGCATCTATGTTCATCAGGGATATTGGTCTGTAATTTTCTTTTTTTTTGTGGTGTCTTTCCTGGTTTTGGTATTACAGTGATGCTGGCCTCATAGAATGAGTTGGAAGTATTCTGTCTTCTTCTACTCTTTGGAAAACTTTAAGGAGGATGGGTATTAGGTCTTCACTAAATGTTTGATAAAATTCAGCGGTGAAGCCATTTGGTGCAGAGGTTTTGTTCTTAGATAGGTTTTTTATTACCAGTTCAATTTCGTTGCTGGTATTTGATCTGTTCAGATTTTCTGTTTCTTTCTGCATCAGCCTTGGAAGGTTGTATTTTGCTAAAAAGTTGTCCATTTCTTCTAGATTATGCAGCTTGTTAGCATATTCTCTAATAATTCTTTGTATTTCTGTGGTGTCCCTAGTGATTTTTCCTTTCTCATTTCTGATTCTGTTTATGTGAGCAGACTCTCTTTTTTTCTTGATAAGTCTGGCTAGGGGTTTATCTATTTTGTTTATTTTCTCGAAGAACCAACACCTGCTTTCATTGATTCTTTCTATTGTTTTATTCTTCTCAATTTCATTAATTTCTGCTCTAATCTTTATCATGTCCCTCCTTCTACTGACTTTGGGCCTCATTTGTTCTTCTTTTTCTAGTTTTGTTAATTGTGAGTTTAGACTGCTCATATGGGATTGTTGTTCTTTCCTGAGGTAGGCCTGTATTGCAGTATACTTTGCTCTTAGCAAGGCCTTGGCTGTGTCCCACAGATTTTGCAGTGTTGAATTATTGCTGTCATTTGTCTCCATATATTGTTTGATCTCTGTTTTTATTTGGTTATTGATCCCTTGGTTTTTTACGAGCATGTTGTGAAGCGTCCATGTGTTTGTGGGATTTTTCCTTTTCTTTGCATAATTTATTTCTAGTTTCATACCTTTGTGGTCTGAGAAACTGGTTGGTACAATTTCAATCTTTTTTAATTTACCGAGGCTCTTTTTGTGGCCTAGTATATGATCTGTTCTTGAAAATGTTCCATGTGTACTTGAGAAGAATGTGTATACTGCTGCTTTTGGGTGTAAAGTTCTGTAGATGTTTGTTAGGTCCATCTGTTCTAATGTGTTGTTCAGTGCCCTGTCTCCTTACTTATTTTCTGCCTGGTTAATCTGTCCTTCAGAGTGAGTGGAGTGTTGAGTCTCCTAGAATGATTGCATTGCATTCTATTTCCCCTGTTAATTCTGTTAGTATTTGTTCGCATATATAGGTGCTCCTGTGTTGGGTGTGTAGATATTTATAATGGTTATTTCTTCTTGTTGGATTGACCCTTTTATCATTATGTAATGTCTTTCTTTGTCTCTTGGGACTTTCTTTGTTTTGAAGTCTATTTTGTCTGATACAAGTACTGCAACTCCTTTTTTCTCTGTATTGGTTGCATGAAATATCTTTTTCCATCCCTTCACTTTTAGTCTGTGTATGTCTTTGGGTTTAAAGTGAGTCTCTTGTATTCAGCATATAGATGGGTTTTGTTTTTTTATCCATTCAGTGACTCTCTGCCTTTTAATTGGTGCATTCAGTCCATTTACATTGAGGGTGATTAGCAATAGGTATGCACTTATTGCCATTGCAGGCTTTAGATTCATGGTTACCAAAGGTTCAAAGTTAACTTCCGTATTATCTAAGAGTCTAACTTAACTCATTGAATATGCTGTTACAAACACAATCTAAAGGTTCTTTTTTTTCCTCCTCCTTTTTCTCACTCCTCCATTCTTTGTATATTAGGTATCATATTCTATACTCCTTATCTATCCCTTGATTGATTTGGGGGATAGTCTATTTAATTTTGCATTTGCTTAATAATTAGCAGTTCTACTTTCTTTACTGTAGTTTTATTACCTCTGGTGACAGGTATTAAATCTTAGG